AATAAAGTTGTATTGGAACACAGCCAAACTCATTCATTTACCCTTTGTCCACAGCTGCTTTTGTGCTACGATGGCAGAGTAGCTGGGACAGACAGAAAGACCTTTAGCGGGTTGATCCCTATTCTAGCTTCATTTACACACATTTTTTAAAATCGTATTTTCCTTTTTATCGACACACGATTCATGTAAATGAAATGAATTGGTTTCTTTACAATGAATATGCAAAAAAATGGACTTGTGGTCATTTATGTAACAATAAATATTTGCCTCACTAAATTCAAATGTTTGCCTGGCTGATTTTTTATCTGCACCCTTTCATTTCACTGTCAAATCATCGTGTAATCTTTTTGAAGATGTGTTGAACAGGATCAGCAGTATGGGCCTGGCACCCCTGGGCTCACTCCTGGGGCTAGAATCACCAGACAGTTCTGCAGGGGAGGGAAAAAAAGTTATTTTCCTTTTACCCTTCATAGTTCTTAGGTGAGCACCCCTATAGTGAAAGGCAGACTAACAAGAGAAAAGCAGAAGTTTATGAACATGTATACGTACATAGACATTCCCAGGGAAAAATGAGTGGCTGTCAAAGAGGTAGCTTAGAAACAAGGATGAAGGGTATGTGGGAGGCAAGGTATGGAGAGGTGATTGGGAAAATCACAGCAAGCAGAGGTGAGGCTTGTGGTACAGATTTAAGTCAGTGCCTTCGCCATTGGCAGGAGCCTCTGTTGATTTTGTCATCCTTCCCTTCCTGGTACGGAGAGGGAGACACTCTCATAAATGGAGATTCCCTTTTAGGTATAAATTTCCCTTACAACTCTGTTTTCATAATTTCTCTTATGCCTGCCATTTCCCAAAATAACCCTTATGCCAAAGAGGCATATTTTGGGGTGGCACATTCTAGTCTCCTACAGTTCCAAGATGGCCTCGCGCATGCACCTGTCAGCTGGTACTGTCTACTGGGTGAGCTCAGCTCTCCTCCACATGGCCTCTCTCCCTTCAGCCTTGCCTGGGCTTCCTCGCTGGCATGAGTTGAATGTATCCCCCAAAAGCTCATGTGTTGGAAAACTGATCCCTATTGCAACAGTGCTCAGAGGGTAAGAAATGTGATTTGGTATTTGAAAGGTGGAGTCTTTGAGAGGTGATTGGATTGTGAGGACTGTGCCTTCATGAACAAATCAATCCATTCATGGAGTACAATGGGTTGATGGTTTAATGGGCTGTCATGGGCATGGACTGGTGGCTTTGTAGGAGAGCACACGAAAGAGCTCTTGCTCATGCCATCGTTGCTGACACCCTGGTTGTCACAGGACGCTGTACAGAGCCCCCACCAAGAAGTTCCTCACCAGATGTGTTTCCTGGACCTTAGACTTCACAGCATCCAAAACTGTAAGAAATAAACTTCATTTCTCTATAAATTACCCACTTTTGGGTATTCGGTTATAAGCAACAGAAAACAGACAAATACACTCACGTGGTGGTGGAAACGTTCCGAAAGAGCACACCTCAGTGTGAAAGTCTTATCAAATCACAGCTTGCGGCACATTTGCTGATGGCCCATTAACTAAAGCAAGTTTGTGGTCAAGCCCAGTGTTAATGTGAGGGGACTGCACAAGGGCATAGCTACTGGAAGTGATTCCCTTGGTGCCACTAATGTAGCAATCTACTAGAAGACTAGAAGAAAAAAAAAAATCCCATGCCTTTCCTCTTCAGGAAGGGCAGACAGAGAAATATCAGCATGGGAGCTTAGGTCTCCAGTTAGATATTTAAAAAGCCTCAGTAGAGGAACAATTGTGACCTAACTTTCTGTATGTTCACTTGTTTTTTTCTTTCATAATAAAAAAAAAGAAACAAATCCACCATGTTGGTAGTTCAAATTATGAGAATAATGACCCTAAGCCCATCCTACCATATTTTCAATTTGTGCTAAGTTCTTCTTTTGGCCTATTTTCTACTGTTAAAGACTACTCTGATTAGGAGAGGCTTGCACTAGCTCCACCAACGCAGGTATCTCAACAATGCTGGGATGGATTCTCAATGAAGCTTCCAGCAGAGGTAGAATCAAGAACACTGGTGAGAAGATATATCTCATGAAATTCAAGCGGTCCCTGCCCGAGGTCTGGCAGGCATCTCAGTTCTAACATATCCATAACTGAACTGTAATAAACCACCACCCTCCACCCACCATGCTGCCCTCCCAGTTTTTCAGTAAACGGAACTACTATCCATGCATGCAATTGCTCAAGCCAAAATTCTAGGGGTAATTCTGGATTCTTCCTGTCTCCCTCACTACCATCAACAAGAGCTGTCAATTCATCTCTAAAGCACACCTCGTATTTCTCCATCAGTCTGCATATACACCACCAGCACCCTAGGATACACCTCCAGCCTCTCTTCCAGGACAGTTGAGGGTTTCCTAACTGTTCTCCCTGCACCTGCCTCCCTCCAAGCTATGCTCCATAGAACAGCCGAGTGATTTTCTAAGGACATAAAACAGACCATATGAGTCCCTCTCCTTAAAATCCTTTGGTTGCTTCCCAACAAGGTTTTAATAAAATCCGAATTCTAATGGTGACCTAAAATCTCTGCCTGAAGGTGTGACCATGTTAACCCATGCGTTTGCAACACAGGATAATATCACCACTAAGGAGGTGAAAATTGGTTCTAGAGGGAATGGGAGTGGATGAAAAAAAAACTTTTTTTTTAATGTATAAGGAACAGAAGGCCGGCCCGTGGCTCACTCTGGAGAGTGAGGTGCTGATAACGCCAAGGCCATGGGTTCGGATCCTGTATAGGGATGGCTGGTTGGCTCACTGGCTGAGCGTGGTGCTGACAGCACCAAGCCAAGGGTTGAGACCCCTTACCAGTCATCTTTTAAAAAAAAATCTATAAGGAACAGATATGGAATATACATAAAATCTATGGAATTAAAATTTCATGGGGGTGGTTAGGAAAAAACTATCTAGATAAAGGTTGAGAGCTAATCTAACCTTATCTCAAGCTCCTCTTATACAATAAAACTTATGATAGAAATGTTCTATAGTCTATTTTATAAATGTTCTATAACGTGCTGCCTAACTGATAATGCTTAGCCACACGTGGCTATTGAACACTTGTGATGTGGCTAGCACAAAAGAAGAAACAGGGTTTTAATAACCACATGTGGCTAGTGGCTACCACATTAGATAACAGCTCTAGACACCTCGAATAGCCTTTTGATTCAAGGACACCAAGATCTTTGGACACATGCTGTCTATATCTGTTAAGAGGCTTTTGCTATAAATAACAGAAATTCAGAGTGGATTTAAAAAGTAGGAAAATATTATCAGACATAAGACCAGGTGTAGAGAGACTCCGGGTTTGGCTAATTCAACAGTGCAATGCCGTTATCATGAGTCAGGTCCTTTCCACTTTCTTTCACTGTCATCCCTCGCGTGCCAGCACCACCTTCAGGTTGTTCCCCTCATAGTCACAAGATGGCTGCAACAGTGCCAGGCATCGCATCTAAACCTAATGGTCAGAAAGAGATGGCAGCTCTGGCATTTCCTTTTAAAAATGAGAAAAATTTCTCACATTTCATTAGCCAGAATTTTATCATATGTCTATCTAAATCAATCAATCACTGGCAAGAGGAAAGGGGCTACTACATGTGGCTCAGACACTGTAAGATCCAGTCTATGGAGCCAGACATGGTGCTGGTCCCCAAAACATGTGGCTGGAGGAAGAGGGTGGACACCTCAACAAGTCAGGGCCTTGTAGGAAAGTGGAGACTTGTACACCTTGTGTTGGGAAGCGGAGCATGCATCTCACCCTCTGTTCTAGGTACAACTAAACTGAACCAGTTGGGAATTTCCCTGTGCCAGTGGTTTTTGGAGTGTGATATCTGCACCAACAGCACCCAGGAACTTTTTAGAGAATTAAAAATCTCATGTCACACCTCAGACTTACTAAATTAAACTCTGGGAATGGTGCACAAGAATCTGAGTTTTAACCACCCTTTCAGGAGATTCTGATAAGGCTTAGAGTTTGAAAAACATTGCCCTATTCCAGGGGTTCTCCATCAGCGGCAATTTTGTCCCCAGGGGGTATGTGGCACCATCCAGAGACATTGATTGTTACACCTGGGGTGCAAGGTGCGACTGGCATCTAGTGGTAGAGGCCAGGACAACGTGCAAGACAGTCTCCCATGACAAAGAAATGTCCAGCCCAAAGTAGCAAGAATGCCGAGACTGAGAAACCCTGCCCCGTACTATGGAGCAGAGGAAGCTCATGTACAGCGGCTGCAGCCCACTTGGCTCCCCCTATGGGATCCAGGTCTTTGAGTCTAGAAAGAAGAAGGATTAGCATCAGTTGAGCACCTTCAGCCCAGAAGAGATGTCAGCTTCCCTTTGCCCACAGTCTGATCAAGTCTCCTAAGCAATAAGTGCTCTGGTCCTCACATTAGTCGAATCAGTCCCGGGGGATCACTTAAGTGACCATGCACAGCTGCGCACATGAACAGGACACAGTGCTCATCTTCTGGGCAGAAAAAATAAAGACATTTTATAAGGAGCACCGTAGATATACACACTGAAGTTTTGGAACTGGCTTTTACGAAGGCCCGATTCCTGTGCGTTGGAGAGTCGACAGGCTGTTGGGATCAAGCAACTTTTTCCATGTTAGGAACCTTTCTGTTCAATGGAGATAGTGTCTCTGCTGTCCCACCTGGGTCTCTCACACAGCACCTGAGGAGGTGGACAGCAAACATCTGGTTCTACTTTACACTTCCTGGATGAGAAGGAAGTGAGAAACCTTGCACTGTCAGTGAACACCATTTCTCTCCATGGGAGTTTAACGTTAGAGGAAGCAGCAAATTACATCAGAGCAGCCAAAGCCACACACAGCTCAGCTCAAGCCCAGCTCATGTCAAAGCTATTGTCAAGTGTCCTATAGTGCAGCTCTTCCACTGTGACAGTCACGGGAGCTCTTCTGGCACATACTTAACATAACGCACTTACAGGAATGTGTATGCTGGTAAAGTTTATTTACATTATGTTCTGTCATGTGAATCACATTTAAATCCCTCAAGTTTGTATTTACATACAGAACCCAGTAAATTCCTTGGAGAAATTTTTTTCCCCCATAACAAAACAGGATACAATTAATATGATAGTTGGGGAGCTTCATGAACACCTTACTTCACTTTGGGGTCTCCCTTGGGATGTTACAGTGAACTGTATCCAGAGGCTGCCAGTGACAATTCATGAGGGCATCGTAGAGTTCTTCACTTTTCACCATAAACTCTTGGTTTAATTCCTCAATATTCAAATGAAGATTTGGATCTGCAGAAATTAATGAATATGAAAAAAAATAGAGCTTTATAGGACACATATTGGAAATGACTTAAAATTAGAAAGTTTTTAAAAAAGCATTAGCAGGAAGTATTGCAGACATTAAAGGTTAAAA